AACAAAGATTAACTTGGGCCAAGGATTTAGCTCAGTGGTTCTGCCACTTATCTTGCAAGCACAAGGACCCAAGTTCGATCCCTGGTACAAAAAAAAAAAAAAAAGCCAGAATTCCTCTTTCTTCTGGCCTATCCCTAAAAATAACAGCAGACCTGGAGCAACAACCCACACACCCCAGCCTGCTGAACCAGCTCTAGATTTACCCAAGACCTGGGTCTCCTTATCGATCCTGGCACCTTCCCGGGCAGCCGCCAGCTGCCAGCTCTGCTTGGCGGTAGAAAGACAAGGAGGTATAGGTTGCCAGGGTTTGGCCCTGAGGCCAGCACTTAAGAACCAACTTCAATCAGGGCCGCTCAAGAGTGTGCCTTGCCTGGCATCGAAGGGGCAGCCAGCCTGTGTGGCTTGGGATTCCCAGAGGGCCTGTCTGCTGTCTTTTCATTCTTAGAGATCACAAGTTCAAACCCACCCACCCAACAAAGACCCACCAAGGCCGGGCTCACAGGGGACTCTCGAGAGCCATGCTGAAGGCCAAGGGAGCCCACATTTCTCAAGGGGCTTCACAAGAGGAAGAACCAACTTGTCTCACAGAGGGCCACAGGGTCAGTATTTCAGGCTTCACAAGCCACAGGATCTACACAACTCTGCCACTGGCTCAGAGGGGAATCAGACAGTACATCACTCATCGGTGTGGCTGTTCAGTGAAACTTTATTGCAGGCTGGCAGGCAGGCTGGCACTGGCTGTTTCCTGACTCAGGAGTCAGTGGTTAAAAAAAAGAGCTAAACCCTACCCTCAGCAGCTAAGGTAGGCAAAATATTTTTCTTTTTTATGCTTTCACTTTATTTTTTTCGTACTGGGGATTGAACTCAGGACTTTGTGCTTTCAAGGCAGGTGGTGGCACCACTGAGCTAAATCTCCAGTCCTTTCATGCTTTCATTTAACAGACACTTATATGGCACCTTTAGAGTCACAGATGTTTGTAAGCCTTTGTAATATTGGTGCATTTAATCATCCCAATGATCCCAATACAGTGGTACTTTGGTTCAGGAACTTGATTCTTTCCATCATTCGGGTCAAAAACCGAGTTGGATGAGAACCAAGTCAAATTCAACAATTAGGTTCAATGTTGACCTTAAGGGGAAATTTGATTTAGTTCTTATCCAGTTCAGTTTGCAATGAGAATCGTGGAGAGAACTGAGGTACCGTAGTACTGTTATTCTATTTGGTTTAAGTGAAGAAAGGTTAAGAGGCCTTGGGGTGTAGCTCAGTGGTAGAGCACTTGCCTGGTATGAACCATCGAGGAGGGGAGGCTTTCCCAAGGTTGCCCAGTGACACGAGAGTGTGAGGACTGAAGGCCGCAGCCTGTGCTCTTAACCCGTGCTGTGGAGAGACTCTGCCCCTCTCCACATGGAGGTCCACTGTGCACCCTGCTGTTAGCCTGCTGCTGGTGGTTGGGTGAGGGGCAGAAAGGATTAAGTCCCAGCCTCCAGGAGCACCAGCCCCAAGGGGAAGGGCATGGGCAAACTACCAACAAGTGTAACTGTAGGAAAGCACGAGGTCAAGATGATTCCATTCCAAAGAAGGTGAAGAATTAGCAAAAGCCACTTTGTAAAGGAGTGTTGCTGCAGGGACATTGTGTACTGGAAAGAATATTTAGACACCTGCCACAGCCATCTGTCAGTCTGTCCATCCTTCCGCCCATCCACCCATCTGTCCATTCCTCTATCCGTACGTCCACTCATCCACTCGAGTACCTACTCATGTACCTTCTGCCCACCTAACCATCTAGTAAACCTCTATCCACAATCTCCTCCACTTCCTGTCGTCCCTAAGGAGCTAATGGTCTTTGGCTTTCTTCTTGAGGCTGCCCATGTGTGTTGGGGATTTTCAGAGAGGGTGAGCCATGGAGCTACAGTAGTCAGGATGCTCTCACAGACAGAGGGAAAGGGGGCTGCACGTTCAGGCACTGGTGCCTGGCTGTCCGGGTCCAAACCTGAGACAGTTTCAGTGACCTCCCAATTCCTCACTGTCCCAACCCACAAAAACAGGTGATTTAGTGACAAAAATTGGTCCCAACCCCCGACTCTTCCTTGTGTCATCCCCTTCCCAACATGACTCTTCAGCTCTGCCCAAGGAGTGAGGTCTTTTCCAACCCCATGGGTATGGGCTGATGGGGGGACTTGCTTTGGCCAAGAGAATGTGGCAATGTGACATGCCAGGTCTGAGGTGGCCTCCACCAGCCTTGAAGCCCACCATCTCCCATGCTCAGCCCCTCCTTGTGTCACCTCCCCACCTATAAATCAGCCCAGGTGGGCGTGGAGGAGGAGAGACCACCTGGGTCACTCCAGCCAACACCAGCCAACTTCAGACGCTGAGACGCCCAGCTGACCTGTAGCTGTCCATGGACGCATGAGGTCCAGAGGACACTCAGCTGAGCCCACCCCAAGTTGGAGCCTAAAACACACAACAGACCATTATTTTAAGACACCAAGTTTCCTGGTGGTTTTATGAGGAATGATTGTGGCAATCAAGGAATGGCCCAATGGGGTTAAGCGACTCTTGTAGCTCGGAGTCCTGGAGGAAATTAAAAGGCATGGCCTTGGGCCAGGGATTTAGCTCAGTGGTTTCGCCACCTGCTGCGCAAGTGCAAGGACCCAAGTTCATTCCCCTGTACCAATAAATAAATAAATAAATAAATAAGGCATGGCCTAGGTGAGTGCTTGATTGAGTCCCCCAGATATGAGGTCACAGCCCATGACTATGTGAGGCATTACGTCTCATGTGGAAAAGGAAACCATAAGGTTAGCTTAGTTCATTGTGCTAGAAATGGACCCCACTTGTAGATGGCAGCCAGAAACCAAGTGAAAGGAAGAGCCAGAGAAGGGGAAAGGACAGAACTATCCCTTCAAAGGCACAGCCCATGACCATGACAGAGGCCCCAGCACCTCCAGGCACGTTCCGCTGCGAACTCATCAATGATGGATCCATCCATGGGTTGGCACCCCATGTTCAATCACCACCCAGAGCCCCGCCTCTGAACACATACGCCTTTTGAGGACATTTTTGGTTCAAATCCATAACGGTATGTAAGGACATATCCCTAGAGGGCTAGACACGGCAGGGAAGGTATTTAGCTTTTCATTTCTACCTATTTTTTAATTTGGAAGTCACTGCAAACTAATAGTTGCAAAAGTAAAAGCAGTACAAAGGATACCTATATATCCTTTACCTGGATTCACCTGCTCTTAACATTTTACCCCCAACTCTTTTTCCTTCTCTCACAATCCCTGAACACACACACGTGCACACACACACAGTTTTCCTTCTGACTCACTTGAGAGTAAGTCATATGCACCATGGCAACTTACTCCCAATGCTTCCGGGTGCTGCCTGAGCATGGAGGCATCCGATTAGATCAGTATAGCACGGCCAGCAACATAAGTCCACTGACTGGCACCAAGTGTATTCTGTGATCACAAGTCAGTAACAGAAAGGTGGATGGAAATTCCCCAAAGATGTGGAGGTTAAACAACTCATGTATAAATAAAGTATGGATCAAAACGGAAGTCACAAGATAAATTAGACAATATTTTGAATTTCAAAAAAAAATTTTTTTAATTTCACAATGTTAAACAATAAAATACTTCCATCTACAGATTCAGTTCACTTTGTACACTGTTTCTAATTCTCTGTTCCCTGGTCCACTTGATGTTTTCCCTCCCTGCTGACACTGAGCTTCGGCCCACAGGAAGGGGGCAGCATGATGACATGCCAGTTCCTGCCACCCTTTGCCCTCACATCACCCCAGAGCTGCAGGTTCCTGGTGACTGCACTGGGTGCAGAAGGAACATGGGGTGACCCAGCTACATGAGCAGCGTGAATTAGCGGCAACCAGCCTGCCCAACCCTTGACACAGGAGAAATGTTCACTGCTGACACCATAGGGAGTTTGGCGTGTTTCTTACAGTGACAACTGACCGATACAGTTGTTACAAACACCTATACAACACCCCATGCCAGGAATGACCTTTACTCATGTTACCCCTCATTCCATGCCAACTGCTCTTTTTCACAGGTAAGAAGACTCAGGTTAAGTCACTTGTGCAAGGTCACATAGCTGATGAGCTAGTAAGTGGTGTGACCATGGGACACAGGCTCTAGACTTGTGCGGGGTGAGGCACCTGGTGGTGGTGCTGGTTTAACTTATACTGAGTCATCTGACACCAACAATTTTGTCACAGATAAGGAACCCAGGTTGTAACTTGCCCAAGGTCAAGTAGCCAATGAGCTGCTAGAGGCGTCCCCTGGGGACACAGTGCCTCTGGACTTAGCTGGGTGAGACAGCTGGTGCTAATGGTTGTTTATATCACTTTGAGGTGCAGCTCCTACCACCTGTAGAACAAAGTGCATTGCCTGACTCACCTGTAGCCTCCCCACCCCATGGTTTCCCTCTCTCCTCTTCTTCAGCCCCAAGGAATCTCTGATTGCTTCCCCAAAACATTAGTCTACACCCATGGCCCATGGTTTTTGCTTGATTTGGTTTGTTGAGACAGGGCTTTGATATGTACTTCATGCTGGCTTTGAGCTCATAGTGATCCTCCTTGTCTCAGCCTCCTGAGTGCTGGGATTATAGGTGTGCACTGTCACACTTGGAACCCCATGGATTTAGACTTTGCACCACTAAAGTCAGTCACTGGTTTTCCATCAGCAGAAATGAAAGGGAGAGAAGCATAAGCACCACTATGATAGCACAAACTACCATGAAACATAGTTGTGAGAGTAAAATGGAATCAAATAGCAAGTCCACTTCCATCTAAAGATGAGAGAGCAGGTCCTTCTGCTTCCTCCAGAGCAGGCCAGTTACAAAGGCTCAGGCGGCCCTGGGCTTGGACAAGGAGCCCATTTCAAAGCTGAGATGAAAGAGGCCGGGCTCAGGCCCCCCAAGCCCTGAGGCCAGGCAGTTCACAGCCGTTTCACACCTCTGAGAGGCCATCCACTGAGCACTAGGAGTGAACACAGCTTGGGCTGGGTGGGAGCCAGGGACATCGGCCTGGGGACCTGCCAGGAGAGGCGCAAGTGGGGAGCAGGAGAAAGCAGGTGACCATCCTAGCTCCCAGGCCTCAGAGACCCCCTGGGTAGGTGAGGACCAACTGAGGGCCAGGAAAAGATGTTTTCTTGTTTTTGTTTTCAATTTGGAAGTGACTGCAAACTTAAAGGAAGTTGCAAAAATCAAAGTAGCACAAAAGATACCTGCATATCTCTATTGTCCCCTCCCCAGGGCGCCCTTCCTCCCTCAGTCGCCCTGCCCTCTGTAATACCTTGTGAACAGGTTGTACAGGTGAGACCAGGGTGAGGTCCCCACATCCTCTAAACTGTAGACCGAACTCCTTTAAAATAGATGAGGAGAAACAGCCACGTTCCCTAGTCCCTTGAGATTAACAATGGACATGAAGAATGTACAAAAGAAATGCTACTATAAAACAATGGAAATGTTCGACCCACTAATGGGTTTTTTAACTGACAAATTACTACCTATTTAGAAATTTGCAAGGGCCAGGGGAGAGGAGGGGAAGCGTTCATAAAAAGAATTAAAATGAGTTAGGGTTGGCATGGTGGCACACCATGAGTTCGAGGCCAGTCTGGGTTACCTAGTGGGTTCAAGACCAGCCTGAACTATATAGTGAGACCTTGTCTCAAAAAAACCCAAAAACCAAAAAGCAAGATGTGTTAGGTACATGTACTAGCACTCTATGAGGAATGTGATCATTATGTATGGCAAACATGTACTAATAAAAATTACGATAAAAATTAGCAAAAAAGACTATAATTTTTTGGTACTGGGGATCAAACTTGGGACCCTGAGTTTTCAAGGCAGGCGGTAGAACCACTGAGCTAAATCCCCAGCCCTGCAAAAATGACTTTAAATGATAATGCCTAATTCTGGTAGTTTGAGGCAAGACCCTAATGCATCCATGATGATGGTGGCAGTGAGAAAGTGGTGATGAAAATGATCACATCTGACCTAAGGACTCCACTTCTGGGTTTCTATCCAGAAAAAAAGAAAATGCAATCCATGGTGAAAAAAATCTTAGAACAGCGGGCGTGGTGGGGCATGCCTGTCATGCCTGTGCTCAGGAGGCTGAAGCAGGAGGATCACCATGAGTTTGAGGATGGCCTGGGCTACATAGCGAGATCCTGTCCCAGAAAAAAAAAGTTTCTACATTCTGGATCAGAGCTGAGCACGGTGGTGCCCTTGGATCAGAGCTGAGCACAGCAGTGGCCTGTGCTGCACTACTCTGAGTCTACACATGACTGAAAATGTCTGTGATTTATAAACATGAATCAAGGAGTTGGGCAGTGCAAACAGAGCCTTCGTCAAGTCCTGGAGGTGACCAGCCCCAAGCCACCCGCCACAACCAAGCTCAACCTTCACAGGCAAGTTACAAGCTAGTTTTCTGGCTTTTGATTTTATTTCATGGGACTAACAATTCACTTCATCAACAAAAACCTTGACAAGGCAGGAAACGTGGAGGAAGAAGGAGGAAGAAGCAAAAAGACAGGGATGGTGCTGCTGCGATTCTCACACAAGGGACCCGGGGCCCAGGCTGCCACCAGCTGATAGGACAACCCTCACCCTCCCAGCTAAGCGGCTGTGGGCACAGAACACAAACACTGGTGGCTTTCTGCAGGGTGCACAGGCTCCTCCAGCTCTGCAACCCATGGCTCTTAATGAAGCAGACAGGGCCACTGTGGCCATGGCCTCCTCTCAACTGCCCCACCCAGACCTGCTCAGCTCCAGCCCTGCTCTGCAGCAGCCCTCCGGCTGAGAAGGGATGGAACCCAGTCCTCCTGTTGGGGCAGGGATGGAATTGGCAGCGAGCTTCCCAGTGCAGGGAGAATGGGACTGTTGGCTCCTTGCCAAGGCCAAGTTAAGGACACTGACAGGAAAAGCAATACAGACATTTATTCTTCCAGGCTGTGACCAAGGTCAGCAAAAGAGACACAAAACTTCGGGGACCCTGGAAGTCCTCCTGGATTCAGTGACAGCACACCACCAGCTGGAAACAGGTCAGCTGGAATTGTCCCAGAATTGTCCCAGTCTGTCACTGGGGCAGTGCAGAGCTTCCTGGTCACTGCTTTCACCCTGGGTTGGGACAAGAGGGCTCTCTCCGAGAGAGCAGCAGCTCAGGGGGTTCCACTCCTACAAGCCACCCACTGGGGACAGCAGCAGCAGAGCTGACAGAGAAGACCCATGGCTGGCTACGGCCACTCCAGAGAGGACTGTGGTGACAGTAAAAGGGCCACCCTGCTGCCAGCAGGGGCTGTATCCACAGGGCATGGTTGTCACCTGTGGGTCCTCACAAAGACCAGACCCCTAACAGACACACAATTCTCGGCAAAGAGCACCCTGCCATCAGCGCCGGAGCCGCAGGAAGAAGGCATGCTTACACTCTGTGCTCTCCAGTGGGTAGTACTTATCATAAAAGTCCAGAACATACTCCTCTGTCTTGAACCCAAACTTCTGGTACAGCAGCATGGCGGGGTTGCTCGCTGAGACGTGGAGGGTCACGTCTTTGCCCATGCAGGTCTGCCAAGAGAGTGGGAAGCATGAGAATGAGAGTAGAGAAGCCCTTTCTAGCACAGGAAGTTGGTGTGGACACCAGGGAAGGCTCAGTGCCACTACATACTGTAGGGCATTTTGCTACTGATCTATGCATCCTAAGACCAAGGAGCCTGGTCACCGATGACCTGGGCGTTGTTTGTCCCCCTCTGAAGCACAGGACCAAGGGGGACATTTAGTCAATTTTACCATTTTATTTATAATTCAATCACACCTCATTTGACAGTGGCCTTCCTCTCTGCTCACGGCCCCCACCACTGCATCCAAAGGCATTTGTGTTTTGGGGACTAAAGAGGGTACAAGACTATACCAAGAATTGCCATAAGTTCAAGGCTGGCCTGGGTAATAAAGCAAGTTCAAGGCCAGCCCGAACTAGATAGTGAGACCCTGTCACAAAAAAACCAAAAATATATAAACAAAATAACATGAATCTTGCCCACATCAGGATTATACACAATTCTCCATACCTATCAGTTCCTAAGTGAAAGTTACCAGAAAAATTCTAGAAAGAAAAACACCTGAATTTTTTCCTATCAGTATATATATACATCGCACATTTTCTCCAAAGGTGAGAGATAAGTCAAAGGATGAACTCAATCTTAGAATTCAGTCTCAAGGTCATTGCAGCTCATGCAGTGAGTGAAGATACAAACCCCGCCTCGCTCAGCTCTCAGGTCTCAGAGCTGGAGTCTACACAAGCAGCAGTCACAGTGTGGGCCACACCTGCTATCTTGGCTTCCGTGTAGGACAGGTGTTCACAAACTGGTTTCTCTGAACCCCAAGGCTGCACAGTGACCTCACTGTGGGCTCAAAGTCTCAGAGTGGTGACCACTAGCCCTTCTCATATGGTCTCCCAGGACCTTGCCCAGCAGTGCTGGGAAGGACCAGAATGGCCACTCGCCTCCTCCAAGTCCCCAGGGCGCCCTGAAAGGTAAGCTGCATGGTTTACACTAAGTCACAAGCAGAGAAAACTTGCCTGAGGGCTGGGGATTTAGCTCAGTGGTTTCGCCGCAAGCGCAAGGACCCGAGTTCGATCCCAGTACCAAAAGAAAAAAAAAAAAACTTGCCTGAATCAGGTGATAGATCATGAAAGTTGCGATCCCTGCTCGTCTCCATTCCGGGTGGACAAGCAGAAATGAAATGTAAGCCTCATTGTATTTCACATCGGGAACCATGAAGCCGAAGGCGATGATGACTTTCTTATAGAGGACGACCACACTGAAGTCGGGATACTGCAGGCACTCAGACAGGTCAATGCCTGAAGAGAAAAAAGAGCCAAAACTCAAAACCTGCACTTTCCACTGGGGATTAGCTCAGTGGTTCCGGTGCCTGCCTCACAAGTGCAAAGACCTAAGTTCAATACCGGTAACAAAAAAAAAAGAAAATTCAATCCCCGGTAACAAAAAACCCCCTGCACTTTCTGGGACTCAAATACCAAGCTGCTAAGTCTGCACTTACAGCTACACCTGAGTGCTAAAAAAATCCCCAAACTGGACACAAAGACATTGTCACAGATACCACACACTCAGATCATAAAAATGAACTTCAGAAAATATCAAAATTAACATAGTCTCTTCTAAGCACATATGTTAGCAGATGAGCGACGAAAAGGCAGGGCAGCAGAGTGCTCGAGGTTGAAACTGGACTTGGCTGTGTCTCGGCCTCCCTGATGTGAGTGCAATGTGGCCATCTGAGAACTCTCAGAGGCCTCATGCCCCAGTGGTGCTTATGAAGCACACAACATAGCCGGGGAGGAGACCTAGACAGTGTCCCCATCACACGCTTTGCCCCACCCCCAGAAAGTGTGCACATTCCTTCGTAGGAATGCCACAATTTGTAACAAAGACCCAAAGAAAGCACTCTAGGGCAGGGGATTTAGCTCAGTAGTTCTGGTGCCTGCCTCGAAAGCGCAAGGTCCCAAGTTCGATCCCCAGTACCAAAAAAAAAAAAGCACTCTGGCGAAAGGCAAAGAAGGTGCCTGGCAGGAAGGTGGAAGTCACAGATGTTCCCAGAATCCCACTCTAGGGCCCAAGACCAGTCCCAGAAGAGTGAGTACAACTGCCACCAACGTACTGTCACATGGTTATCAGACAGCCAAGGTGATGTGGCTCTGCGTGACATCTCCTTTAACGTCTAAAGACAGCTGTTACTTCCTTAGGTTCCTAAGCAGACCCATAAGAACATGTGTTTCTTTAGTTGATGGCCTGGGTGACAGTTAAAATGACAAATCATATGGCCTCACTCCTGTCCTCAGTCTATGATCAGTGTATTTGCCTTTTTTAAAAAAATGCCCTTTGGGTGTGTTAACACTCTCTAAAGATCAGATAAACACACAGAGTGTACAGAGTTGTTAAGCCAAAACCCAAAGTGTCCAAACACGCCCAAGCTACCAGTCTACATATCTGTGGTAGACATTACCAGGTATCTAAAAAAGGTAGAAGCAAAACAAGATGAATCTTTTATTCTGGAAACAGACAAACAGGGAAGAGAAACAAACAAGAACACTGTTTATTACTGCAATTGTTGGCTTTGTCTCAATCTTAGGAAACTAAGAGGCATTTAATTTCAACATTTCTATATTAGTAGAGACAAACTACACGAAATCACATGAGGAAAGGTCATAGGGTCATGTGGCATACAATGATTTAAAAACTCCTGGGGTGAGGTCTACTGAAATCCATCTGCCAGGGTTGGAGGGGGTAACATACCAGGCCAGAAAAACTCCTGACACATCGAGTTGATCGTTGGGATGTGATTTGGCCGGACATAGCAGTAATCAAGAGGTGCGTCGGGCTCGGATATCCAGTGAGGGTCACCTCTGTGCAGGTAGGAACGAATCTGGGACAGAAGCTGTAGTTTGGGTGGTTTTGTCTCATAATCACGCCTCCAGAACACAGAAAATAAACAAAGTCAAGTCAAGAAAATGCCCAGTATTATTCCCAGTTATGTGACTCATACATACTTTGATATACTTGAAATCTTAAACTAATTTGCACCACTTTATGTGATAACTAGCTTGATTATAGTTATAACACTTTTTTGGCATGAAATCTGAAATTCAGTCTACTAACATTCATTCATCAGGTCAAACCCCTCAGCACCCTCCAGAGACCACACTAGGTGCTGGCTGCCTTTGTGAACAAAGTGAGGAAAAGCAAACAGCCCACGGTTCTCTCCAGGCATTGGCAGGCTCACAGACCACCTGCCCACAGGCCTGCCCAGAACCCAGTGCCAGGTAAAGAAGACTGGGTGAATAGGCACTGCAAGTGCAGGGCCCACACAGACACTGGGCCTACAGCACACAGCCAGCACCACTGCAGGCCTCTCTAGGGAGTTCTGCTTCTGGTGCACTGCTTGGACCCATATTAGAAAAGGTCCCAACATGTAGCTCAGATACTGGCTCACTCAATTGTGACATCTTTCCCTTTTTATTTTAATTTCACATACTACTGAATATATACAACTTTAATATTTAAAACAAAACAATGATTTATGATAATCACAAAGAAATAGCAACAGTTGGGCTGGGGATTTAGCTTAGTGGCACCGCACCTGCCTCACAAGCTCAAGAATCTGAGTTTGATCTCAGGTACCAAAAAAAAGAAAGAAAGAAAGAAATAGCAACAGTTCACTTATCTTGTTTTTTATGTGTTTCAAAGGATCATCTTGTCTGCAAGGCCACAACTGAAGGAGCAAAGGGTGACTGGGGACATGGACAAGCGTCCCCACCAGCACCTGCTCAGGTGTTGGGTCTCTATTCACTCCAGCAAGAGGCCAGGGCGAGCATGCCACAAACCTCACCCAGCATAACCCATCCTTGCATCTTCTCTGCACACCTGATGTAGGGCTTTAGGATCCGGGAAGTGTAGGGACTGACAATGCTCTGGTCCACAGCCAGGTCTTCTGAGCCCACCAGGCGATACAAAAACTTGCTGGTCTGGTGTCGAAATCCCTTCCTGGATGGCAAGGCTGTCTGTGTGAGGAAACAGTGGTTGTGTAAAATAAGTTCTGTATGGAAGTGACGCGTATGATCTTTTTATGTAGCAGGAAGTAGGCCTTTCTGAGTTGCTTATTTGAAAAGTTCAAGTTTTAATACAAACCTTATAGGAACTTTGGCCTAAAATGAGATCCAAAAACCTATCCCTGGTTTTAAAAGTTTAAAGCCAAAAATAATTTTAAAAATTTTAAAGTTATTTACAAATCTTGTCATTTCAGTGAAACACAGCACAGCACGTAATCTGGACTTGATGCCTCTCTAGACTTCCTGCTGCCTATCGTGCCTTCCACCATTCGCTGACGTTAGCCAAAAGGAGTACTAAGGAGCTCACATACGCCTGGGTCATGTTATATGACCACCTTGCTATCCAAGAGCTTTGGGACAATTACTGCTGTCCATGTGTCCAGATTTTTAAAAACATGTCCTTTTTCAATACGTAAAATATTTGGCAAAAATGGGAGTGGTATAGATTATCATCCCTAAAGCAAATCTCATTAGTCCTGAGGCTCAGTGTGCTTCCTAGGAGGGCTCTGGAGAATGGAAGCCTCGTATGTCTCCTGTGTGCCCCAAGAGCTGCATGGAGGTGGCCATTACTGGGTGAGCGTGCCCGGGCCCGCCGCTGTCTGGTAACAGAATGTGCACAATTAGGGTTTTATAGCAGAAGGTGCAGGGGGAAGATGAAAAGGCACATTTACAAAGTGGTTTTGTGCCAAGGGGTGGATGAAGTTTAGAAACTCAAGTTGTTTTTGTAGAATCACTTTGCTCTTAGCCTAGAAAATAACTTTGCTGAAAGAAGAGCATGATTTCTTCCTTTGTAATTTGCTCTCATACTTTCCCAACCTGGACACCAACATTTTCAAAGGCCAACTTTGAAATGCTTCTAAGGCCTAAAGTTTCAAAGTAACATTCAACGCTGTGGTTATGGTTTCCAAACATAACCACGAACAATTCCTCTCTATCCTAGAGGTGGACACAGCTCCCTGTGTCTGAGACAGAGCCAATTTCCCCTACCCCGGGATCTGGGTGGCTTCAGGAACAGCTGTGACCAATCAGAGAGCAGCATAGGCAACACCCTGGGACAGGAACCAACTGGCAGCCAATGAGCAGAGGCCACATAGAGACAGATGGGCCTGGAAGAAAGGCATTCAGTCCCAAGCTGGGACCCAGGCAAAGGCAGACACATAAGTGACCCAGCCTCAGGCACCTGGAGGGGAAGAACCGCCCAGCTGAGCCCAGTCTGCCCATAGACTCAGAGGAAACTGTAAAATCACTGGGTCTGGGTGGTTCCCAATGCAGAACCAGGAAACTGTAACACCAGCCATGAACCACGAGCCCACAGAACACTCTCAGCACTGGTTAGTCTCAAGGGGAGTCCTATGGACCCCGTGGATGTTACCCTGCAGTAAGCCACTCTTCCCTCTGCCTGGCCACCACTGGGGCTGCTTCCTGAGAGGCTGGGCTCTTCCTTTAGAAACACACATTTATGCTTGGCATGGTGGAACACACCTGTAATCCCAACATTTGGGAGGCTGAGGCAGGAGGACTACTGTGAGTTTGAGGACAGCCTGGGCTACACAATGAGAGCCTACATCAAAAAGCCCAAAAGAAATAAAAATATATACATACACACATCTGCTCTGCAAGTCCTAACTCCTCTGAGACTTGCAAGGTCCTGTAGGACCAGGCCCTGCCACCCCATTCCTCTGCCACCACAGCATGCCAAGCATACCAGCCTCGCTGCTGCCCTCGTCCCTGAGCCTGCATCAGCTTACTTCTCCTAGCTGACAAGGATTCAGGTCAAGTATGACCCACAGAGCAGCACTACTGCGCAGCTCAGCACCCACCATGGCCAGGAGACCTGCGTGCACAATGAGCCACTGCTGCCATCTCCCTCCTCCAGATGCCAGGGAACCCCTCCCCAGCCACAAAAGTGCTTGGCAAGGACTAAGGAGCCAATTTACATTCACTGAATGATGAAGGGATGGGGAACAAACCGAAGTTAGACTCCTGGTTCCAGACACAGTAGAGAGGTAGGTGGGCTACTATGTCCCTTCCCAGATGGGAGAGGAAGACTGACAGCAAAGCCAGGAATAGTCTGGGGGCTCAGGGGTGGTGGGGACAGGGCATTTCTCTGGGAAGTGACAGGCAGTCAATGTAGCTGCCAAGTGGATGCCAGAGAGCAATGTGAGTACAGGTGAGGGGATACCACTGCGATAGCTCTGAGACCTCATCACCAGGAGTGACAGAGCGGGAGGAAAGGCAGGCCAGGGCTGGTGGTCACAGTGACACAGGAAGTGGGTTGTCCCACAGCCCTACATCTTACCAAACTCACCAGGAGGGTTAGAGGTAGGCACCAGGCTCTCCCCTGGGTGTATGCGACAGGCAAAGGGAGGCAAAGGGAGGGGAAGAGATGAAGGGGGATGAGCTCACGGGGAAAATCAAGACACATAAATGAGCACAAGGAAAGAAGAGGGTGACCACTTAAACAACTGGTCCAGAAAAGGCAGGATAATTTAACAAACAGACAAGAATGTCTCAAAAGCACAATAAACAGTTATTGGGGAAATGCAGATCCAAACTACAATGACACTGCCCCACACACCATGGACGCTGGTCACCAGAAAGAGCAGGAGCAGCATGGTTGGTACAGGAACCAGACCCTTCACACACTGCTGTGGGGACACACGGTGCCACCACACAGGCAGACAGCCTGGCCAGTCTTCAAAACATTCAACAGAGTGACACCTGACCCAGGAAGCCCTCTCCACAGGATGTTCAACCAGCATTACAACAGTCAAAGGCTGAAACAAGGCAAACGCTCATCTAATATGAAAGTATAAACAAAATGTGGGCTACACAATCAGATGATGTGTTAAAAAAGAAGGCAAGCATGAAGGTGTGTTACACTACAGATGAACGGTGCAAACGTTATGCTAAGTGAAAGAAGGGGATCAGAAACAGCCAAAGTGTAGACTCCCTCTCTACATACAATGCCCAGGGCAGGTCCACCTAGAGAGGCTGAAAGGGGGTCTGGACGCTGCGCACATAATGGCTCAGGGGCTCTAGAGTTAGGAAGTTCTCAAACTGAGTGTGAATCCAACTCTGTGAGCACACGAGAAACCACTAAACTCTATACTTTAAAGGGTGACTTATTTGGTAAATGAACTGCATCTCAATGAGGCTGTTACAGAAGAAAATGCCTAATAGGCCCCAAGGTAAAAGAAAACCTAGACACAGGAAGGAGTCCTCAGGGACTCCGTACCTCTTCATTACTGAACACTCAACACATAATCACTGAAATAAAGCATACAGTGGACATTAGGAAAGATCAAGGGTTTCTTCATAAAGCCAAGGGAAGAGATAAGTAAAAGAAATAATGGCAACAACAACCATAGTAACAATTCAGAAGGAGAGGTGAAAAATAAAGAAGGAATAAATAGACGAGGCGATCTGGGATTCAAGCAGCACATCAGAGGACGTCTGGTTTCCAGTCTAGATGCAGGCAGTCACCCTGTACTGGGTAGCACAACTCAGAACAGCTGGGCATGGTGGTGCACACCTATAATCAGAGGCTGAGGCAGGGAGGTGGCCAGGAGTTTGAGGCCAACCTGGGCTATGCAGTAAGTTCAAGGCCAGCCTGAACTATATATTGAGACCTTGTCTCAAAAAAACAAAAACACAAAAACAAAAAACTGGGGCTGAGGATTTAGCTCAGTGGTTCCGCCTCCTGCCCCCGCAAGCCCAAGGACCCGAGTTCGATCCCCAGTACCAAAAAAAAAAAAACAAAAAAAACCCCTGAAATATAAAAAATCTGAATGAACTGCAAAAGGCAACAAATCTTCCCAGACAAAGACCGGAGTGGAGAGTGGAGAGAAAGGTGCCCCGCTGGAGAACCAGCAGAACCAGTACCCACCAAACACCTGTCATCGACAACTATGAGTACACCTTCTCCAAGGGTTCGAAGTGTGGCACCATCTTCTGTTCCCCAAGTCTTTCCATCTCAAGCAGGAGGGAGCACATACCTGTCCTCAGGGAAGGGAAGCCCTGATGCCAGTCCCGCAGCTGTCCTCTCACCTGACTGGGGAGACACAGAAAGCACGTGCGAAATCACAGCCCAGAGGGACAGTCTCCTTGAGACCTGATCACAGGACTAAGTCCAGCCCTATGCCTCACCGCCAGCCACATAGGCCTGTGTACTACGGTCCTCTCACCCTGAATGCCAGCACCGGCTTCAAACAGAAAAGACAGGGACGCTGGGGGTTTAGCTCAGTGGTTCTGCTGCCTGCTTCATAAGCGCAAGGACCCAAGTTGGATCCCCAGTACCAAAAACAAACAAAACAAAAAAAAGAGTGAAGAAAAGACAGGGACATTGAAACAGAAACACAGCTCGATCTCTCCCACAGGCCCACACTACTTTCTGTGAGTGTGCAGAACTTTCCCATCTGCCTAATAAACCTCTTCATGCTTTTTTTTTTTTTTGTATTGGGGATCGAACTCAGGACCTTGCACTTTCGAGGCAGGCAGCAGCACCACTGAGCTAAATCTCCAGCCCTTCACACTTCTTTTCTAAAAAATCAGTTTGAAGAAACAGAACAAGCCTCAGAACTATACCCAGACTCAGATATGGCAGGGATGTTGAAATTACTGGATCAGGAATTTAAAATAACTATGATTCATATGTTAAGCATGCTAATGGACAAAGAAGACAATGTGCAAGAACAATGTGTACTTTTTTAAATTTTTTGAGACAAGAGCTTGCTACATAGTGCATTCAAACCAGCCTGCACCACAAAGTGAGACCCTGCCTCAAACAAAAAAAAGAAACCAATTACCAAAAGATAGCTTAGGCCAGGGATTTAGCTCAGTGGTTCCGGGACCTGCCTTGCAAGGGCAAGGTCCTGAGTTCGATCCCTGGTACCAAAAGATAGCTTAAAATTCTCTTTTTTCTTTTCTTTTTTTTGGTATAGGAAATCAAACTTGGAACCTTGCACTTGTGAGGCAGGCGGTGGCACCATTGAGCTAAATCCCAGGCCCTTAAAATTCTCACATATCCAAAACCTTAACAACAAAAAAAAGCACTAAATCTTCGGTTAAGGAAATAATGAGAAAAATTACAGAACATTAAGTTCTGACTGGCAGTAAAATCACATCATTTCAAAAGTCCTAAAAAAAAAAAAAAAGTCCTAAGTCATCACCACAGCAGTACTGATAGGGAAATTTAGAGGTATGAACACTTCTGAATCTATGCATCAGAAAGCCAGAGAGAGGATGGATGGAAGAAATGCCTCACAGCTGCCCACTGTGTAACCGCCTGAAACTCACACTGAGGTCTAGGTAAGACAGGAGATAAACACACGCCTCAAAAAGCCCCAATGGAACTACAGTCAAGGAAAGGCAAACACACAAGAAGAGAGACCAAGAGAAGAAACAACTGGTAAGTACTTTACCCCTCCTGGGAGCAGGCTCTGGGTCCCATGAGAAGCAGCCCAGCCTGTACTGCAGTCCTGCTAACAAGGAAGCTGTGCCCTGCAGCTAAATGTCACACTGCCCAGGGCAGTGCTGCCGCCCCACAACATGGTGATAAATTCTTAATGTCATTGTGTGGTTTTTGGCCGTGTTTTTCATGACTCGTCACTCAGTCACTCAGTCTCGCGTACAGACTGTGTAGGTGTCAGATGCCCTCTTTTAATGTTATAATAAAAAATTTAAAAAGGTTTGCTACTTCTATATGTTAATTACATTACATATTTTACATGCACCCCAAGACAATTTCTCTTCAACATGGCCCAGGCAAGCCAAAGGTTGGCCAGCCATGGCTTAGGGAATAAGAAAAAGGCCTGTACATGTTCAGATGAACACAATTTCCCCCAATATATTCAATTTGCGGTTTTCTATGTGTGTATTTTGATGTGTGGACATTGTGAATGTCCAATGGAGAGGAAAAACTCAGCTATATTAAGGGTATTTATACTGAACAGTTTCAAAAGATAAAGCCTGGCAATCTTTACATATTTCTCCCTTGCTCTTTTCTTCTGTCTCCCAAAACTATTTGTGACTTTTGTTTGTTTGTTTGTTTTGATTTTCTGAGACAGGCTATGCAATTCAGGCTGGCCTTGAACTCACTATGTCAACCAGGCTGGCCCGAATTCAAAAGGATCCTCCTGCCTCAGCTTCCCGAATGCTGGAACTTCAGATGTGGGCCACTAAACCTGGTTAAAACTACTCAGGACTTTAACAGTCTCAGCATAACAGCATCCACTGTATGCCGCCTGTCCCACCACCATTGGCCCCAGCAGTTCCAAGCCTGTACTCGCTCACCTGGTAGCGGTCAAGGATTCGGAAGTCCTGGCAGGTGGTCCGGTAGGTGGCCTGTCCAGCTGGAAGCCGGGACACCCCTCCCTCTTTGGCTCCATAGATCCCATCGACTAGCAAAAGGGCAGCATTGACCACCTGGTCCAGGTCGAAGAGGGGCAGCCCCCGGTCCCTCTTGGCCTGCCTGACAATTAGCTTGCGCTTCAGCCTGCGTGCCTCAGGCGTCATGGCCACGGCACTGGGACAGGCCTCCAGCCTGCGCAGCAGCAGCTTTTCCTCGTAGATGCTGGCAGGCGTGTACCGGGGCCCCTGTGGCCTTGCATCCTTCTGCAGGGGCGGCCTCCTCTTGTCCCGCGCCCGGGTCTGCAGGGACGCACTGGAGTCTGTGTCCTCGCTGTCCAGATCTGCCCTGTCTGGTTTCTCCTCCTCACTGTCCACCTCCTGCTTGATGTGCTCGGGGGCTCTGACCTTCTTCCTGCCTCCGGTCCCCAGCCCTGAAGCCACGGGCCCCAGGGACGGTGGCGGGTCCTCCACTCCTGGGTCAATGTCGCCATCACCGTCCAGCTCATCATCATCTGCACAGGGCACAGGCAGTGTCACCAAGACCCGAGGACACCCCTGCCCGCCCTAGAAGGGCCGGCGGAGCCCTCCTTACCATGGAACAGTGCCTGCGGGGGCATGGCATCGGGGATCAGGTCGGCCTCCGACAGCAGGCTCGGCGTGGCCGAGTGTGACGCCGGTGTCCCAGGTGCAGAGAAGTCCAGCGAGGGTGATGGGGAGGGGCTGGTCAGCGGGGTGCGGTCTGAGGAGCTCAGTGATGCAAAGTCGATCACCTCACCCCGCTCAAGGACCGCATCTGGCCGGCGGGCCCGGCTGGAGAACTTCACAGGTGTGGACGCAGGGCTGCGATCCAGAAAGCCGGCTGCCTCCTTCTGGGCCCGCCGGATGTCCTTCGCCTCCTGCGTGCGGGACCGCTTCTCCTTCAGCTCCATGGCAGACTCCACAGGGTTCCGGCTGGCCCGTTTCCGAAGGCCCTCTACAGTGATGATGGGGTCCAGGGTGGGCTTTGAGGCTGCCGCAAGACGACACATGTCCAACTTCCAAGATAAGCATTCAATCCTAACTTCTTTTACAATGTGTTATAGTGCGCCTGTACTGGGTTCTGTATGGAGAAATGTCCAAAGAATGCCCCAAACTAAAAGACTTAAGACATCTCTCTTAAAAGTTACAAAGCAAATTTAAACAACTAAATACTGCTATCTTTTACCTATCGGAACTGCTAAACATGAGAAGTTTCACAATGGTTGCTTGCTGTGGCAGTGCAGGCCTATAATACCAGCATGAGGCAGGTCTGTGAGCTCAAGACCAGCCTGGACTACACAAAAGCTCCTGTCTCAAAATCATAAAAAACAAAAAGCATGGGGGCTGGAGATTTAGCTCAGTGGCACAGCACCTGCCTGGCAAGTGCAAGATCCTGAGTTCGTTCCTGGTACCAAAAAAATCCCCAAAAAACAAAAAGCCAAAGTTTGATAATGCTGAGCAAGAGTACAGGGAAACGGGCATTTTCATGACTTTATAGTATGGCATAAATTTTACTGTATCTTTCAGAAGGGTAATTTGGCAAAAACAATACAAATTTTAGGGCCAGGGATTTAGCTCAGTGGTTCTGCCGCCTGCCTCAAAAGCACAAGGTCCCGAGTTCGATCCCCAGTACCAAAAAAAAAAATACAAATTTTGAATAAATATGCCATTTGATATGGCACTTGCTTCCAGAAATTTACCACAATTTGCACATGCACCCAAATTTGAACAATTCTAGCATTGCTCAAAGTAACAGAAAAGGGCAAAAACAGTCAAAAGTGGCCATTAATAGAGAATCATTTAATACATTACCAAACAGCCATATAATAAAGTAGGGCAAATCTAGATGTATCATAATGGAAAAAGGAACAGGTATACTGGGGGAAAATGGGGAAGAGGTTTTTAATGCTTTGTCTAAAAAAAACCCTTCAAAATGCAAAGATAATCTCCAAAAGCCTTCACAAGAGTGGACCCTCCTGGAAAAGAGAACAGGAGCAGGAACTTCCAAACTTCATACCTTTCAATATTTTTAAAATGTAAAAGCTTGCCAGAGGCAGTGGTGTATGTCTGTAATCTCAGCACTTTGGGAGTGAGACAGGGTCTGGACAAACTGCCCAGGCTGGACTTGAACTCTTTTTTTTTTTTTTTTGGTACCAGGGATCGAAGCTGGGTCTTTGCGCCTGCAAGACATGTGGCAGGCGGCGGAACCACTGAGCTAAATCCCCAGCCCTTGGACTTGAACTCTTGATCCTATTTCTCAGGTTGGTGGGATTATAGGCATGTACTACCTTACCCAGCTTACTGAAAACTTTTTAGAAAAAACATCCGATCAGTATGTGATAGTAAGTTTGCTGTTCATTTTTAAGAATGTAAAACAGCATTACGGTTAGCCTGTAAGGAAGAAAGAATCTATCTCTTAGAAGACAATTACTGAAAAATCTTTAAGAAAAATTCTAGCTACTCAGGCTGAGCCAGGAAGACTGCAATTTCAACGCTAGTGTGAGCAGTTAATGGAGACTTCTAAATAATCTGAGGGTAGAGAGGTGTGGAAGGCTGGGGGAAAGTACCAGAAATCTAGACAAGTGAGATGGCCGGGGCAACTGTTGAAGGGAGGTGACTGTACACAGGAATTCATTATATCATTCTCCTTTGCCTCTGCATGTTTTAAAATTTCCATAACAGAGCCCAGCATGATGGTGCACACCTGTAATCCCAGAACTTGGGAGACTGAGGCAGGAGGATTGTCACAAGTTCAAGACCACCCTGGGATACCTAGTGAGTTCAAGGGTAGCCTGAACTGCATAGCAAGACCTGTCTCAAAAAAACCAAAAAATAAATAAAATTTCCATAATAAATTTTTTAAAAATTCAAATTGAAAATGTTGAACCTTTCAAATGCCAAAGGAAATTTATAAAACTAGTAACTTAATTAGGAAATGACAGAATGGGTTTCACTTAGTACTTACTTACAGCATGCAAATGAAGCATCACCAGGACATTGCCACTGTCACCAGAACAGCTCCAAAAAGGGCAGACCCTAGCTCCCTGGTCACCTCACCCGGCAGCCTCCCACCACTCTCACCTTTGGCCTTCAGCGTGGAGCCAGACAGCTTCTCCCCTTCTGGCTTCAGGGTGGGCGGCTTGTTATGTACCAGTCTCCACCAGCCTGGCTCCCCGAACTCCTGTGCCCCTGAGCGGAAGTACATGGGACTCCCCACGCTCAGGCAGCCTGCCACAGTGCTCCACCAAGTGGAAGTCTTCTTCCTAGAGCCCAGGGGTGTAGAAGTGATTGGCATTCAATTCATCTCTGGCAGAAACACTCGAGACCCAATGCCCCTCCTGACTCGAAGGCTGGGGACGCCACATGACCCCAAGTGTGGAAGAGACACAGCAAAAGGATCAAAAGAGAGGCCTGGGGTCTGCCTAGTTTCAAATTCTGGCTTGCCTCAGTTTCTTCATCTGTAGAACCAGAGAAACAGAACTTACCTCACAGGATTGTGAGATGAAGTAATTCAAGCAAAGCACATTAAATGCTTCCCCAAGAGCATGGCGGAGCAGTCTAAGGGCTCGTTTTTCCTCCCGGTGCTTTCACATGTCAAAATAAGGGCAGCTCTCAGGAAATAAAGCAAACAAGAAGCCCAACTCCAAGACTGGGCTTTGGTTTTGTTTTGTTTTGTTGAGATAAGGTCTCACTATGTAGTGCAGACTGGCTTCAAACTCAGTGATCCTCCTGCCTGAGCCTCCCCAGTACTGCAATTACAGTCACGCGCCACCACACCCCGTCTTATCCTTTTCTAAATGATTTTTTTCGAGTGGCTTGACTTAAACAGATAAAGGAAGTTATACAGGTCTTATACCAATATAGCAAAAATCACTAGTTTAATGGTTATACTGGAGAGTCTTGAGCAGCTTTGGCTGGAGAGATGAAAACAAAAACAGCATAAAGTGTTTGTTCTCAAAACATGCTCTAGAAACAGACAAATGAAACAGCTGAACAACTTCTTTTGACAACTGGCAATATACTTAAAAACAGGCAATTCAAGTCCAGCATCTTAGAACACTTGGAGATCAGGAAAACCTCACAAGATCTAAATTTACCAGTTTTCCCCTTTCTTGTCCCTTAGAAATAGGGGATACTGGTGGGGATTTAGCTCAGTGGTTCTGCCGCCTGCCTTGCAAGTGCAAGGTCCCGAGTTCAATCCCCATTACCAAAAAAAAAAATGTTCAGAAATAGGGGATACTAAGTTCATAAGTAGTGGGAAAGCATTGAATTTAGACAAAATTCCATTTCCTCATAAGAAAGACCCAGTCACGGTGTCACAGCTTTTCTCAGCACCACTGAAAAACAAGAACTAAAATAGCCAGGCGTGAGCAGTACATGCCTGTAGTCCCAGCAGCCAGGAGACTGAGGCAGGAGGATGGCTTCAAGTTCAAGGCCAGCCTGAACCACAAAGAGCCTGTCTCCAAAAAAAAGCCAATAAGGGCCAGGGATGTAGCTCAGTGGCGCTGCACCTGCCTCACAAGCAGCAAGGTCCTGAGTTTGATCCCCAGTACTAGAAAAAAAAAATGCCTAGGTCAAAAAAAGCGAATAAATAAATGTATGTATGTATGTAAAAGAAGCCCTGCAGTAAGCAGCCTGAGCTGATTCTACTCCTCCTCACAGCGCCCTCAGAGGACAGCCTTTGTCCTGCTTCCCTGGCCTCTCAAGCAACAAGGCTGAGAGATGTCTCAGGCTAGGCTGCACTGAGTGGCGAGCGCATGAGCACAGCTCCCTTTGAAGGAACCAAACCTCTGGCATCTACACTAGCTGAGTTCTGCCAGGTTTAGGATCGCAACACAGGCATACAGGTCATCATACAGCACTGTGTTAGTTACTTTTCTCTCGTTGCTGAGACAAAATACAAGACACCCAAAGTTAAAGGGAAGGGGGTTTATTTGGCTTACAGTTCTAGAGGTTTCAGTCCATAATCAGCCAATTCTAAGGCAGGGACGAGAAACAGGCACGGCAGAGCAGAAACTACATGGCACACATAAGGCAGGAAAGGTAACAAGAGAGTTAACAGGGTCTCTCTGCCCCTTTTATCTTATTCAGACTACTTAAGGCGAGTAGCACTCACACCCTTAATCCTAGTGCCCTTGAGCCTAGCATCACATCATGAATCAATTCCAGCTTCACACACTATATCAAGCCTATGGCCACATGAGGCTTTGGGGGGACCTCTAGATCCAAACCATAACAAGCGCTAACACTCAGACGCTCACAGGACTCACTAGGGCACGGGAGCTTACAGACCTCCAGGGCAACACAAGCTGTCTAGGCTGCAGGGGCTTTCATGTGAGGTTTTGGTGTCTGCACCTCAAGTCTCTGAGGGGCCAAGCACTCGGAAGCAAATCTGAGCACAACTACAGTCATCATAGAGGGAGCTGCAGGCACAGTAATGTGCCAGACTCTGTTCCCAACCAACACCAAAACATTAACAGCATTCACAGGCAGGACAGTGGCGTGTATCTGTAGTCCCAGCTAATCTGGAGGTTGCAAATTCATTCATTTATTCTTTTTACTTTTGAGATAGGGTCTCACTACATAATTCGTGCTGGCCTTGCACTCATAGTGATCCTCCTGCCTCAGCTTCCCAAGTGCTGGGATTGCAGAGCTGTGCCACCATGCTAAGCAGAACTGCAAATTCAAAACCAATTTGAGCAACTTAAGGAGACCTTGTTTTAAAAAAAGAAGGGGAGTGGGGCTGAGGACAAAGCTTAAAGGAGAGTGCTTGCCTGGAAGGCCCAGGGCTCTGGTTTGGAGCCCCAGGACTGGAAGAAAAAACAAAAGACAAAGATAGCCGAACTTCCAGAGGTAATAAGAACAAAGAGACTCCATGAGTTAAGAGCAATCTAAATGGGTGCCTGTGGTGGATTAACTAATGGTCAACTTGGAATGCCGAGCTGAACTAAATCGGTGTGGTATGGGCGTGGAAGATCCAGATGAGGATTGTTGCCAGCAGCATAAAAACAGAACTGGGAGGGGAAGATCATTGGCTGTTGGTTTTCTTGGAGAAGCTTGCCAATGCTGGTTTTTCTGATGTAAACTTGGCTGTTCTCATCAGAGGAGCTCAGGGCCTCACTGTTGCTGAGAATGGCTGCTGTTCTCATCAGGGGAGCTCTAATCTTTGCCATGAGTGTCACTTCCTGGCTCCAGTGTAGATCCCTCAGCCTGGTGGCACAAATCCTTCACCCTGCTGGAGCAGGCTTTCTAGCTTCCACCACTGGCCTTTGGGCCTTCCTGGGGCAGATCCTCAATACGGGCAAGCATAAGACATTGCCCTGGGCTCTAGGCCTCTGGCTGGACTCATGGAGGACACTGCCTTGGACTCTTAAGCCTTCAACTGGACTTGTGTTGGACACTGTGGGATCCAGGCCCTCAGCTGGGTTCTTTGGGTCTCTAGTGTGCAGCTAGATCTCTTGCACTCCTCTGCATTTGACTTTTTGGGTGACTATTATAAAATAATCCTATAAACTATGTGGCCTCTATTAAATCTATTCCTTTGCAAACCCTGAATACAATAGTGCCTTCAACAGCATCCATTACCTTTTCTCCTCTGACCTCCTGTGACTTTCAAAGGACCAATTCAAAGGATTAATTTCTTCAAATTAATAGCTTACCTACCCGCACTTGGGTGGTCCCACTTAATCACAATCTCAATATTTTTTAACACTCTATGACTCTCTTCAATAACATCATGCTCATGGACCAGGCATGGTGGTGCAGGCCTATAATTTCAGCACTTAGGAAGCTGAGACAAGAGTACTGCCACAAGTTTAAGGCCAGCCTGGGCTACATAGTGAGTTCAAGGCCAGCCTGAAATACATAGCAAGACCCTATCTCAAAAAAAAAATGATGCTCATGGGCCGGGGATTTAGCTCAGTGGTTTCACTGCCTACTGCGCAAGCACAGGGACCCGAGTTCGATCCCCGGTACCAAAAAAAAAAAAGAAAGAAAAGAAAAATCATGCTCAGAAAAACAACCAATACTTTCCTCTGGAAGTAAAAAATTATGGGGGAGTGGTGGACAGCAGAGAAACAGCCTCTCTGGCATTTGGTGTCCAGACACTAGAATATAGCAACAAAAGGAAGAGAAGAAGGAGGGATGTGGATACCTGCAACTCAACAAGAATCTGAGTGAGAAATGAACCCCAAGGGGAGATCGAGGAGAGAAACTTCAATGAAGGAGAAGGTGGCAAGTGGCGCTCTCTCCCTGAGCCCTGACTCCCTCTGTGGGAAGGGTGGCTCGAAATACAGATGCACATTGACTACTGGTAACCCCAGAGGCATCTATAGAGAAATGCATCAGTGGAACAGAGCAGTGGACACAGCGGGCTTCAGTGATTGGTGAATTATTTGAGTTCAAACATCCTCCAGGAGAGGGCAAATAGCCATTTTGGAGAGGGGCCAACTGAGCTCAGAGTTCAGATCAGATGTGGGCTGACTCCATCAGGGTGAGGCAGAATTGAGAGGGGTCAAGGAGCCAAGTTCAAGTAAACAGGAGCCAGACAAGGTGTTGTAGGCTGAACAAAATGTGTTCCAGCCTCACAGCTGGAAGCAAGCCTGAACTTCAGAACTAACAGTGCAGACTTGCTGGGATTATCCACTACTCCACCATACATCTATGGCTGGCTTGCTGGGATTAATCAACACGAACCTGGACTCTGTCTACCAGTGACTGCAGAAACATGCCTTGAAGTGGACTTCTTTTAATATCCTTTTTTTTTTTTTTTTTTCTTTTGCTTTTCTTGGTTTTCTAAGTTGTGAGCATTGCTTCTAGTTTTTTGTTTTGTTCTATTTATTTCTTCCTTCTCTTTCCCTCCTGTCCTCTTCACCAGTTTCCCAAAGTTTGTGTAATCTTCCTTTGTCCTCCAGCCTTGCTTCTAATCTCTTCCTATTCTTCTATTTCTCTATCTCCCCCCCCCCCCCCCCCCGCCCCGCAACCCCTTTCAAATTTTCTCCCCTGAGGGTAAAATCACCATACTGAGGGCATATTTACTGTATACAATTTTCTGGTTTGTTTTAGATTTTGCTATATAACCACAAATCTAGTTCATATAAGTAAAGGTGGCAAATTAATAGTTACCAGTTTGTCTTTTTCTAGGCTGTGTTTGATGCTATTGTTATTGCTAATTGTACTACTGTAGCCAAGGTGACATAATTGTTCCAATCTGTTGTTCTTCCTGGTATGCCAAGACTGAGATTGCCTGAGGGTCATAAATAAA